TCAGTTGATCTGTATGTCTGATCTTGTAGCCATGGTACTCTGTTTTCTCTTTTCTGTTAATATATAAATCATATTGACTTTTAAATGCCAAATCAGTCTTGCATTTCTGGGAGAAACCCCATTTGGTTATGATGTAGTATCCTTTTTCTATTTTGATAGATTCAGCTTGTTAATATGTTAAGGATTTCTGCATCGGCTGCAATGAATTACTTAATATGGCCCATCTAGCATAGTCTTTGTGACTCACATAAAATGACTGAGTGGGACTATGCAAATAAGGTATATGGAACCCTAACAAAGGAATTGGTCAGTTTTGCCACCTTGCTAGGCGTAAAATGAGCCATCCAAGAGGCGGGAGAAGAAGATCTCACTACCACCAAGGAAGAAGAGCCATGAGTGGAGCTGGTCCTTTGGACCCAGGATCCCTGTGCTGAGAAGCTCCTGGAACCAGGAGACCAAGAGAGAGAGCTGTAACGTGAAGATGGGAAGAAGTGGCAGCAGAGAAACGGCAGCAAGAGAGTTCGGCCAGAGATGGCACAGTGGGTTTCCCAGCCTACAGAGCGAGAAAGCTGAGCACCTTTGGGCAAGAGGCTTCCTGGCGGAGTGGGGTGCCTCTGGGCACTTATCGACAGAGCTAAAAGAGCTTTGTAACACTTTCCTGAGCAGGGCAGAGATCAAGGGGCCAGAGAGGCCTGCCTGCAGGCATAGCTAAGAAGAGGCTGTCCTGACGGAAGAACTGTATCCTGAGCGTTCCTGAACCTGAATGGTAACCTGTTACTTCCCTAATAAACTCCAAAACGTGAGTATTGTCTGTGAGTTCTGTGTGGCCATTGCAACGAATTACCGAACCCAGCAAAAGAAGTAGAGAGTGCTGTGGGAGGGACGATTAGTGTCCGAATTGATAAAGATGGTGCAGAGAGGAGGTATGCCTGATCTACACTTCATAGGTATCAGACTTAGGCTGTTAATCTTGATTCTCCTTCCTCCTTTTGAAGTTAGAGACAGTCAGACACCTCCACCACGCTATTTTTACATCTGTGTTCATGAAGTCTACAATATCTTTGTTAGGCTTTTTAGCCAGGTTATACTGACCTCTCTTTCCTGTGTACATATGCCATTTTATTTATTTATTCTACCATTTTGTTTTAATTACTATTTTTTTTAATGTTTTAATGTTTGATAGCACAATATTTCAAGTTTTTCATTATTCACTAGTCTCAAGCAATATTTTTCAGAGCTTTAGATCTATGAAATTCTACAGAATAATAATCCCACTATAATTTTTATTTGAACTGCATTAAATATCAGACTAACGTGGACAACAGTGATACTGATACATTTACTATGTTGTTTATATATGAAGTAGGTACTGAAAAGATTGGCAAAACATTCTCCTTGTCCTCAAAGAGTTTGCCATTTCCAGGGGTAGATAAGTAAGGAAACAGACTTTATAACATAACAAATTTTATTAGAGGAAAACACAAAGTCCACCTAATTGTTGTTGGGTGCCATCCAGTCAGTTCTGACTCATAGCGACCCCACGTACAAGAGAACGAAACACTGTCCGGTACTGCACCATCCTCATAATCATTGTTATGCGTGAGCCCATTGTTGCAGCCACTGTGTCAATCCATCTCACTGAGGGTCTTCCTCTCTTTTGATGATGTGATGGTTAAGATTGTATGTCACCTTGGCTAGGCCATTATTCTCAGTGTTTTAACAGTTGTATAATGTTGTGCTCACCCCCATGATGGAATCTGCTGAGTGGTACTGGCCGAGGCGGGGCCTATGGCAGCTCACCGCCCTCTCAGTTTCATCTCTCTGCCTTCTGCTGGTTACCTTCTGCCTGCTCGCCTTGCGAAGGTTTTTGGCTTGTTCCAGACTCAGCAGCTGCCTCTTGTTGTCTAACCTCCAGTTCGTGGGACTTGAGCTAGCAGCTTACCTGTTGATCTTGGAATTCATCGAACTTCTCAGCCTGGGAGCAAGAGTCCAGTTCCCCAACCTGTTGACGTTGGGTTCGCCCTGCAGCTACTTGAATCAGGAGAAGCCTTGTGGTCTTGTCTGCTGATCCTGGAATTCATTGACCTTCACAGCCTGTGAGCGGGAGCCCCTCTCCAACCTGCCGACCTTGGGTTCACCAGCTTCTGCAGCTATGTGAACTGGGAGAGGCCTCTACCCTGATCTGTGGGCTTGGGATGTTTTAACCTCTACAATTGCGTGAGCTATTTCCTTGATGGAAATTTCTCTCTATATATGTTTATACACTTTACTGGTTTCTCTTCTCTAGAGAACCCAGCCTAAGACAGATGACCCTCTACTTTACCAAGCATGATGTCCTTCTCCAGAGACTGGTCCCACATGATAACGTGTCCAAAGTATGCAAGACAAAGTCTTGCCATCCTAACTTCTAAGAAGCACTCTGGCTGTACTTCCAAGACAGATTTGTTTACTCTTCTGGCAGTCCATGGTATGTTCAATATTCTTCATCAACACCATAATTCAAAGGCATCAATTCCTCTTCAGTCTTCCTTATTCATTGCCCAGCTTTCGAATACATATGAGGTGACTGAAAACACAATGGCTTGGGTCAGGTGAACCTTAGTTCTTAATGTGATAGCTCTACTTTTTAACACTTTAAAGAGATCTTCTGCAAGTAGACTTGCCCAACGCAATGCATCGTTTGATTTCTTGACTGCTGCTTCCATGGGTGTTGATTATGGATCCAAGTAAAATGAAATCCTTTATGACTTCAATCTTTTCTCCATTTATCATGTTGCTGCTTATTGGTCCAGTTGTGAGGATTTTTATTTATGTTGAGGTGTAGTCCATACTGAAAGCTTCAGTCTTTGACTTTCATCAGTAGGTGCTTCAAGTCCTCTTCACTTTCAGCAAGCAAGGACGTGTCATCTGCATATCGCAGGTTGTTAATGAGTCTTCCTCCAATCCTGATGCCGCATTCTTCTTCATACAGCCCAGCTTCTCGGATTATTTGCTCAGCATACAGATTGAATAAGTATGGTGAAAGGATACAACTCTGACGCACACCCTTCTTGACTTTATGAAGTATCTCCTTGCTCTGTTGGAACAACTGCCTCTTAGTCTAAGTACTGGTTCCTCATGAGCACAATTAAGTGTTCCGGAATTCCCATTCTTCACAATGTTATCCATAATTTGCTATGATCCACACAGTCGACAATGAAACACAGTTAAACATCGTTCTGGTATTCTCTGTTTGCAGCCAGGATCCATCTGGCATCAGCAATGATATCTCTCATTCCACATCCTCTTCCGAATCCGGCTTGAATTTCTGGCAGTTCCGTGTCAATGTACTGCTGCAACCGCTTTTGGTTGATTTTCAGCAAAACTTTACTTGTGTGTGATATTAATGATATTGTTTGATAATTTTCACATTCTGTTGGATCACCTTTCTTTGGAATGGGTACAAATATGGATCTCTTCCAGTCAGTTGGCCAGGTAGCTGTCTTCCAAATTTCTTAGCATAGATGAGTGAGCACTTCCAGCACTGCATCCGTTTGTTGAAACATCTCAATTGGTATTCCAGCAATTCCTGGGGCCTTGTTTTTGCCAGTGTCTTCAGTGCAGCTTGGACCTCTTCCTTCAGTACCATCGGTTCTTGATCATATGCTACCTTCTGAAATGGCTGAGCATCTACCAATTTTTTTTTGGTGCAGTGACTCTGTGTATTCTTTCCATCTTCTTTTGATGCTTCCTGCATCATTTAGTATTTTCCCCATAGAATCCTTCAATATTGCAACTTGATGCTTCAATTTTTCTTCAGTTCTTTCAGCTTGAGAATTGCTGAGCACGTTCTTCCCTTTGGTTTTCTATCTCCAGTTCTTTGCACATTTTATTATGATACTTTACTTTGTCTTCTCAAGCTGTCCTTTGAAATCTTCTGTTCAGTTCTTTTACTTCATCATTTCTTCCTTTCACTTCAGCTACTTGATGTTCAAGAGCAAGTTTCAGAGTCTCTTCTGATATCCATTTTGTTCTTTTGTTTCTTTCTTGTCTTTGTAATGACCTCATGCTTTCCTCGTGTATGATGTCCTTGATGTTATTCTGGTCTTCAGTTATTAGTGTTCAATGTGTCAAATCTATTCTTGAGATGGTCTCTAAATTCAGGAGGGATATACTTGAGGTCATACTTTGGCTCTTGTGCACTTGTTCGAATTTTCTTTGACTTCAACTTGAACTTGCATATGAGAAATTGATGGTCTGTTTTGCAGTTGGCCCCTGGCCTTGTTCTGACTGATAATGTTGAGCTCTTCCAGTGTCTCTTTCCACAGATGTAGTCGATTTGATTCCTATGTATTCCATCCGGCAAGGTCCATGTGTACAGTCACCGTTTATGTTGGTGAGAAAAGGTATTTGCAATGAAGAAGTCATTGACCTTGCAAAATTCTATCATGCAATCTCTGGCATTGTTTCTACCACAAGGCCATATTTTCCAACTATGGATCCTTCTTCTTTGTTTCCAACTTTCGCATTCTAATCACCAGTAATTATCAATGCATCTTGATTGCACGTTTGATCAATTTCAGATTGCAGAAGTTGGTAAAAATCTTCAAGTTCTTCATCTTTGGCCTTTGTGGTTGGTGTGTATATTTAAGTAATAGACATATTAACTGGTCTTCCTTGTAGGCGTATGGATGTTATCCTATTATCGACAGTGTTGTACTTCAGCATAGATCTTGCAATGTTCTTTTTGACAATGAATGCAACGCCATTTCTCTTCAATTTGTTATTGCCGGCATTGATTGTCTGATTCAAAATGGCCAACACCAGTCCATTTCAGCTCACTAAAGTGTAGGATATCAATGTTTATGCATTTCAGTTCATATTTGACAATTTCCAATTTTCCTAGATTCATACTTCCTACATTCCATGTTCCAATTATTAATGGATATTTGCAGCTGTTTCTTCTCATTTTGAGTCTTGCCACATCAGCAAATGAAGGTCCCAAAAGCTTGACTCCATCCACGTCATTAAGGTGCCTTCCAACCTGAGGGGCATCTTCCAGCACTATATCAGACATTGTTCCACTGCTACTCGTAAGATTTTCACAGCTTAATTTTTTTCAGAAGTAGATAGACCCCCAGGTCCTTCTTCCTAGTCTATCTTAGTCTGGAAGCTCAGCTGAAACCTGTCCAACATAGGTGACCCTGCTGGTATCTGAATAACGGTGGCATAGCTTTCAGCATCACAGTAACACGAAAGCACGCCCCCACAGTAGGACATACTGACAGATGCATTAGAGGAAAACACAAAGTCCACCCAGGAGTAGAGATTATTGTCAGGAAAAACTTCCTACAGAGCTGACGCCTGGGGTGGATCCTAGTTTCTCCTGTGAACAGGCCTGGTGATGAGCAGGCACTTCTAGAGGCTGCACTGACAACACCTTCAGGCCTAAGAAATGCCATTAATACAGAGCTGAGTGTACTCAGTCTTCCATGTCAGAACATGACAGCAAGTCTCCTGGGCTAGCTGGCCTCTCCTCCTGCCTCAGCCAGTCCTGGCTGCCTGCTGCTGAGCGGGAGACTGGACACAATGGATCAAGGAAACCACCTCTGCCTCCAAAGGCAGCACACATATACTTCCCACAGCTCCCCCTCCTCACATAACCTTAAGAAAAGACCACCAGTGTAAGGTGAGTCATTACAGCTACAGTTGTTAATCCACCTGGCTCTAGACTCCTGAAGTCAACAAAGTGTTATCACTTATTTCTACACAGGAGCACTGTGTTCCAGGAGAAAATGGTTCTATTTGAAGCCTAAAATGGTAACAAAGCAAATGAAAGCAGAGCTGCTGTGTGTCTCCTGGATAGTGAAAAGTTCTGGTACTCAAATAAGCACACCCAGCAAAGGTGACAGATTCGCTGCTGGGATGAACTATTACCCCTCTGTGGCTCAGAATTAACTATGGAATCATCCGGCAAAGACAGAGCACTCTGCAGAGCAGCCATAGCTGTGCATGGAGGAAGAGGGCAAGAGTACACAGTCACAGTGTTATTCCTAAAGAGACTCAGGGGATCTGTCCAGTTATTCAAAAGCACATCTGGAAAGAATTCACCTGTCTTGAACCCTGCTTGCTTAACAGCAAAACAAGAGAAAGCATCATAAAATGCTCAGTCAGAGTGATCTTTCCAATTGCTGAGGCTGGAAGTTTTCCCACCTGAGCATCATAAATGAGACAAACTGCATAATAGGATAATAAGAGTTGTTGCTGAAAGATGCAATCACAAAATAAAAGAACCTTTCAAAACCTGACTGTAGTTGGTAATTATCCAGGAATGGAATATAAGGAAGAGCAATTACAAGGTTCCTGCTTCTTCATGCTATCATGAAACGGAGGTGGGCAAGTGCCAAAGATTACTCTTTCAGTTACAATAGACCTTCCTATGCATGCCCGGTGTCTTCAGCAACAGCCCTATTCCTTTCTGTTAACAAGTGTGCTCTAAGACAGTCTTGTTTATCAGTCTTCCAAGACTCCTCTGGGTGTAGTGGAACCTCCAAACTTTTGGCTAGCAGCCAGGTGTGTTAACAGACATTAGTGCATAGTTATATCAGAAGAATCTTTTCTCCTTCAAAGATAGGCCCAGAGCTAGCTATCTTATACCTTTCCCAAGAACAGGGAATGCTACACTTGCTAATTGGGCCGTAATCCCAGGAAGTTGAAATCTTCAAAGAAGTAAAAAGTTGTCTCTTAGGGACTCTGTTCTTCCCAGAAAGCCAAAGAACTCTGGTTTGATCAAAAGCCTGCTCCCATAGAGGATAGCATGACCAATCTCTTTTTTATCTTTAGTCCCTCTTCTGTCGTCCTCTATCTGAGTCTCCCTTTTACTCTGCTGGCACTACTTCCACAAGCGAAAAGATGGCTGGATCACCAGCAGCCATTTGAGGCCGTGAGGAAATCTTGAGAATGGAAGTCATGTGCTAAGAATGGTGTATTAGGTTGAACAGTGTTCCCAAAAATTCATATCCATCTAGAACCTGTGAATGTGACCTTAATTGGAAATAGGTCTTTGCAGATATATAATCAAGTTAAGATAAGGTCATACTGGTTTAAGGTGGACCCTAATCCAATGACTGGTATCCTGATAAGAAAGGGGAAATGTGGACACAGGCACACAGGGGAGAACGTCATGTGAAGATGGAGGCAGAGATTGGAGTGATGTGTCTACAAACCACAGGACACCAAAGATTGTCAGCAATCAATAGAAGCTAGGAGAAAAGCACAGAAGATTCTTCCTCAGAGCCTACACAAAGGAACCAATCCTGCCAACACCTTGATTTTGGACCTCTAGTCTCCAGAGCTGTGACAGAGTAAAATTTCTGTTGTTTTGAGCCATCCAATTTGTGGTAATTTGTTATGACAGCCCTCAGAAACTAAGCAAAGCATAAAGGTAGAAGGAACCTTGGCCTCTGGTAACTGTGGAGCAGTCATACCAGCCCTGGACTCTGAGGACTACCTATAGACTTTATAATTAAGACAGAAGGAAGAAGAGAAGGTGAAGGAGGAGGAGAAATACCTTCGCTCTTGTTTAAACTACTGTTTTGGGGGTTTTCTGTTAAATGTAGCCAAATTTAATTCCTAACTGGAATAGACTGGGGCCATATTACAGAAGACCTTAAATGAGCATTGAAAATGTTTTAAATAAATTAGTAATTACAAAATCAGGAGACACTGAGGATACTTTGAATATTTGTATTAAAAGGAATCAATCACTGTATATTATTTGAGCGATTACCATGTTTTCAATCAGTGGTATCACTAGGGGGGTGTAAGAGGTACAGACCACACCCGGTGACACTGTCAGAGGGTGACACCAAAATGGCTGTCAATAAAATTTCTGTGCAGTGTTTCAGCAGAAATTTATTATTTTTTATAAAAATATTCCTATAGTTAGTTATAACAACAAAAACATTTTTCATCAGCCCAGCTTACATGTATCAATATACCTACAAGGCTAAAACTCTATGCTAATTTACTTTCTGAACCTCTTAAAGCACTCCAGTCCAAGCTGTCATTATTACCCAATTACAATGACACTTCAAATCATGTGTTTTCGTCTGCACACGCTACAGGCATGCACTATTGTTTTTGCTGCTGCTGGTGTTTTTATAGTCGCTGATTTTGTCAAATTTTCTGGTGTTTTAGCTACAATATTGTGGTAATTTGTATTTGTGAACCTAAATCAATAGCTTTTTTGAGAATGAAGTAGTAATTAAAGGAAAAGAAGAAGAAAAATAAAAAAAGGCTTCCGTTCAGTTACTAATAATGTTGTAACTAATAATGTCAATGTAGAAAGATTTTACAAAATAATTTTGGTTTTAGTACTCATATAATCTAACAAATATTACACTTAAGCAATTTACAGCTATATTTATCACATATTATTCTATGATTAAAACTGGTAATAAACTTACATGTATAACAATTATTGACTATATAACTCTTTGGTAACTAAATAGAGAAACTGACAGTTTAAAACACAAAGTGGGGGAAATGAATTGCTGTGTTTCTTGATACATGTTTAGAAATATAACTTAAATCTTAAATTTATTTTTTTTAATTTTAGTCTTTTTTTAATTTTCTTTAAAAACATCACTGTCTTGCAAATATATATCCAACTTTAACAAAATTTTCACGGTATTAGTTTAAATTATGGTTTAAAAACAGTGACACATTAAAATTTACACATGATAGAACTAACATATCCAATAGATTTACATTTACATTTTTTTTTCAAATATTGCTGATTTATCTTTTTTCTTTTATTGTGGAGGGATATTCTATGATGCCACATGGAGTGCATACATCAAAGAGGCTAAGTTGATGCCAGCAAAGGAAAGCAAAAGAGGCAAGAATTAAAGCACTCAAAATACTTGCTGGATCCATGCTTCAGTATGTCAAAAGACCAGATGATGGCCAGGGTTCATCAAAAGACACTGCTCGTCAGTCTCCAATTGATAAAGCTGATTCTTCTGATGCTAGCATGCATTCTGCAGGAGAGCAAAAGGTAGAAATAGCAGAATTTGAGGCAGAAGAGAGTACTGCAATTGACTCTAGCCATGATACCATAAATGAGATGAGTGACATTAAGGAGAAAGATTTGCAAATTTTGTATGATGTTTCTTTCTGGGCGATACCAGTTCCAGGTCATTTTGGGGTTGAAATTATCAAAAGGGGAAATGTTTCTTTCCAGAACAAAGATAGACCTTTCAGTGTTGCAGCAAGGCAAGATGCAAAAGCAAAGGGAGATTTGTGCCAGCTTTCAAAACAGTTGTTTTACAAGGTGATGCCAAATGGCGAGAAAATTCTGTGGTCCTGGACAGTTTACTCACTCGTCAGCGAGAATTCATACTGTTTTTGCTGCCGACTATTTGCTGTTAATGCTACAGATATGACATCCAAATTTGTGGCCAGGTTTCAGAAGTGTTGGAAGCTGAGCCCGAAAGTACATAACCATGAGACATCCGAAGAGCGCCTAGGTTGCCTTGAAAAGTGGAAAAAATTGGCAGCAGGACTGAAGCTGCACAAAACCACTGATGCCAAAACTATTGTTTTGAAGGAAATAGAGAAGAAAAAGTGGAGGGATACTTTGCCCAGATTACTTGATATCACATTGTTTCCTGCCAAGCAGAATATGGCATTCCATGGCCACAAGGAAGATGAATCTTCATTGAATAAAGGGAATTTTCTTGAGATCGTTGAGATGCTTTCAAAATATGATCCAGTGCTGAAAGAGCACCTAACGAGATTAAAGTGGAGCACATGTAAACTGAAAGTATCTGAGTCTTATCTTACACCAAAAACTCGGAATGAGTTTATAAGTGCCCTGGCAAATCATGGGAAGGAGAAGCTTGTCATGGACATAACGTCTGCGAAGTATTTTGGGATCATGTTCAACAACAAACCTGACATATCACATACTGACCCGATGTCCAAAGTGATCAGATACGTAAAAGTCAACAACAGGAAAGCTGAAGTGAAAAAAAAAGTCTTCCTAGGTTTTTTCCCTTTAAAGGGGAATAAAGCCGTTGACCTCAGTTCTGACATTCTTAAAAAACTGGAAAGTGATGGACTGGACATAATGATGTGTCACACTCAAGGTTACGACAATGCTGTCACTATGGCTGGAATCCATGGAGATGTACAGCTATTCCTGAGGGAAAGAACAAGAAAGGCATTTTTAATTGATGTGTGGACCATTCTCTTAGCTTGTGCGGTCAACACTTTTTTGCTGAAAATGCATTATGTGTGACATTTTTTGGAACTCTTGAGATAATGTTCTCTCGCTTTGCTGCTTACACTCATCAATGGGACGTGTTAATTGAGCATACTGGAGCATCAGCGAAAAGGCTATCAATACCATGCTGGAGTGCTCATCATGCTGCAATTAAGCCAGTTAAAGAAAAGTTCAATAAGTTTGTGGTGGTGATTAAAGCTCTTTGAGATTCACATGAAAATCTGGACACAAGAAGAGCAGCACAAGGTCTTCTGCCTGCTGTGATTTCACCTTTCTGTGCTACCTGTACTTCTGGTGCAATGTACTTCAGGAAGTTAATCTTACATAGCAGTACCTGCAGACTAATGGCTCAACTGTCAACAAAGTGGTGACAAGGCTACAGGCACTAAGACTTTTTCTGCACAAGGAGCACAGTCACCTGGTGGAGCATGCAACTGAACAGGCACTTTTAAAATTGGATGTGTAATTGCAGTAGAGAGAAGAGCCAGGTTCAAGAAGAGGACAGCAGGGAATGGGGAGCAGGCAAGTGATGCTGGACTCACTCTGCAAGAAGAAAATAAGAGGGCGACGCTTAAGTGCATTGACCGCTTTCATTCTGAACTCCAGATCAGATCAAAAGCCATCAAGGAAGTAGTAGCCATGCCTGAGGCTGTTCAAGGAAGAGTCTCATATCTGCCACCAAGGAGGAGTTAAAGGTATCCATTCCAAAACTTACCACTTTCTATGACAAGGTGCCTGAGAGTGAGCTTTTAATAGAAATACCAAGGCTGAGAAGTCACATGAAAGCAGCAGGGATTGATCTGGAAGAAGCTAAAGACAGGGCAACATTGGACGTTTTGACATTTGTAGCTGAATGGGAATTCACAGAACCTCTCCCAACTCTTTCACTAAGCCTAAAATTATTTCTGACGATCTGTGTGTCTGTGGCTTCATGTAAGAGGAGCTTTCCAAGCTGAAGCTTATAAAGAACTATTTGCAATCTACCATGGGACAGTCAAGGCTTTCTGATCTTGCAATATTATCATCTGAAAGTAAGCTGGAGAAAGGAATTGATTTTGATGAAGTCATTGACAAGTTTGCAGCTTTGAGGCCAAGAAAGAAAAATTCTGATTTAGTCAAGATATTCTCTAAGTGCTGAAATGCTTGTGTATTTGTTCCTGTTTATTTTTATGGTAACATTTCATTTGTGAATATATTTCCATATGCATTTGTCTACAATTTCTACATTATTTGGGCCATTATTGATTATGCAAACCTAATCCATTAATGTATATCATGTAACAGTAAAGTTTAACATTAAAATGAACACAATTTTGATGTGGTTCTTAAATGTTTTTAACTTCGAATTCTGTTTTCTTACCAAATTTTTACTTTAACCCATGAAACTATGTAAACGTAAATACATTTAGGCTGTGTGTATGATATTGTAACTTAAAGGTGTAATTTTAATTTTGCTAGTTGTTTATGTCACTACTGTCGTTATATTCAGTGATATACGGGAATTACTATTTACAAGTAACATTAGTACAAAAAACATTACTAAAGATTCAGTCTGGTCTGGTACGGAGGAGGTCCATGGAGGCGGGGAGGGGGCGGGATGACACCATGAGTTACCACACTGGGTAACACCAACCCTAGTGATGTCACTGTTTTCAACAGTGCTGGGTTCCTGCCCTCTAAAATCTTACAACCTACTGCATACACTGAACAAGTATAACGAATCTTAACCAAAAAGGAAGGACAGATACTACAGAAGTGTGTAACAAGAGGATCTAATCCAATACAGGATGCGTAGGTGGGGGTGGCTTATCCAATGAACAAGGTAAGCCTGGGCTTACCTGTGCTTACTTGTGCTTACTTACTAATCTATAGTGAATAATTTCACATGGGTTTCACATTAAAGATGTCACAAGCTGAACGAGTTTTTCCCACTAAATCAGTTCCTCAAGGATGTGGTGGAAAAACCCATTGCCGTCGAGTTGATTCTGACTCATAGTGACCCTATAGGACAGAGTAGAACTGCCCCATAGGGTTTCCAGGAAGTGGCTGGTAGGTTCGAACTGCCAACCTTTTAGTTAGCAGCTGAACACTTAACCACTGCATCACCAGGGCTCTGATGTGTACAACCTATGTGAAATTGTTGACTACAGATTAGTAAGTAAGGACAAGCAAGCCTGTGCTTACCTTGTTTACTGGATCATCCGCTCCTGTCAGGGATTGTAAATTTGAAAAAAGGCTTTGATTCTGTAAGTAGGTGCTGTGGGGTTGCAAGACAGAGACAGATGTCAGCCATACCAAGAAGGAGAATCTTTGATGTGGTGAAAAAATGTGAAGTTGTTCACTACAGATGATCTGGTAAGCAAAGTAAACACCATGCTTACTCTGCCTATTGGATAATCCGCCCCTGGATGTGGAAAGGCTTCCTGGAGAAATCTTACTTAAGCTAAACCTCAAAAGGAGGAGTTGGAGATGGCTTGGCAAAAAAAAACAGGTAAGAGCATTCACACCCTATACAAAGATTCAGAGACAAAACATAGTACCAAACACTCCCCTAAAAAAAAGAAGTACAGCACATTAAAAAAACAAAGATGTCCCACAGGGATCACAATAGAATAGGTCCCAGACAGAGCTGGAGAAAAGTGTAGAACAAAATTCTAACTCACAAAAAAAGATCAGACTTACTGGTCTGACAGAGACTGGTGAAACCCCTAGAGTACGGCCCCCGGACACCTTTTCACTCAGTACTGAAGTCACTCTTCAACCACAGATTAGAGAGGCCTATAAAACAAACAATAACTCGTAGTTCAACCATGTATATGAGACTAAAGGGGCACACCAGCCCAGGGGCAAGGATGACAAGTCAGGAGGGGACAGGAAAGCTGGATAAATGAAAACGGGAACCCAAGGGCAAGAAGAGGAGAGTGCTGACATGTCGCAGGGTTGGCAAATTAGTACACAAAATAATATGTGTACTAATTGTTTAATGAGAAGCTAATTTGCTCTGTAAACTTTCACATAAAAAAGAATAAATAAATAAAACAAAGAAGTCCCACTTAGCTGGTGCACTGATGTCTTAGTCATCTAGTGCTGCTATAACAGAAATATCACAAGTGGATGGCTTTAACAAAGAGAAATGTATTTTCTCACAGTCTGGTAGGCTAGAAGTCCAAATTTAGGGCGTCAACTCCAGGGAAAGGCTTTCTCTCTCTGTCGGCTCTGGAGGAAGGTCCTTCTCATCAATCTTCCCCTGGACTAGGAGATTCTCTGCACAGGAACCCTGGGTCCAAAGGACGTGCTCTGCTCCCAGTGCTGCTTTCTTGGTGATATGAGGTCCCCCCAGCTCTCTGCTTGCTTCCCTTTCCATTTATCTCTTGTAAGATTAAAGCTGATACAGGCCACATCCCAGGGAAACTCCCTTTACATTGGATCAGGGATGTGACCTTAGTGGGGCGGGGGGGGGGGTTACAATCCCACCCTAATCCTCTTCAACATAATCCAATCTTGCCTCACCAACCACAGGCAGAGATTAGGGTTCACAACACATAGGAAAATTACAATCACAAAATGGACAACCATACAATACTGGGAATTGTGGCCTAGCCAACTTGACACATATTTTTGGGGGACACAATTCAATCCATGACAACTGAGATTAGGGAACTCCAGAGAATGGTATTAGCTGAAGCTGGAATGGTAGGCAGGGCCACAGGTGATAAGAACACAACTGTAGACGTGGAAGACACATATGGGAGCTTCTCTGTATAGGGAGACCAGTGAGAAGTCAGTCATTTGGAGAAGTAGTAAGAGCCTAAAAGTAAGAGGCAGCTGCATAACTCAGAAAACAATAATAACATTGATGAAAATACCAAAAGTAGGAGGAGGAACTGGATTTAGTGGAAAAAACTCGTGAAGTTTGTGACATGTTGAGTTGAATTTTCCAGCACGGCATCTTCAGAAGATGTCTAGAAGTATTCATCATCTGCTATGTCTGGAGTGGCTTCTTTCCTAGTAATCAACGACTCCACCTTCCTTAAAATCCAGATTCAATTAAAAGTGCTCCCTAATCTATGCCCTCCCCACTCAGATCACTCTTTCATGCTGTATGCTCTGTTGGAACTCCATTCACAGGTAATTCTTTGTAGGCTGCTGCTGAATGTCCATACATTCACACGCTTGCCATCCATCTTTTGCCATATAGACTGCAAATTCCTTTAAGTACAAGATTCTAATTTCTATTCCTGTTGCAATCCTTTGGATGCCTTTTAGAGCCCACAACACTTGGTGAACACTAAAAGTGTACTGTTAACAAATTCCTTAGAGGATTGAGAAACCTAATACAGCTACACTTCTGAGTAACAGGGAGATATAGCACAATGGCTGTCTCAGGGAACGGGAACAAATTCTTACCCCTGCTTGGCATTACTGGTCAGGAGGTCTGTGTCTTGATGACAAAGGATTTCTTTCAAAAGAGGTGAAAAAAAGACAAGACTGGGGGTGGGGGTTATAAAAAATACACAAAATACCTAATGGATGGGAACAAAAGGAAAATGCTTCCCGATTGCAAACCTTGCTTAACTTTTTTGTTTGTGGTTAGTACTCAAATTCTAACATTATCTCATCACCCCAATACTGAAAAACCTTGAGACTAAACCATGAGTGAGTATACAGGATAAGCTGAAATTAAATCCTCATGTGAATGTGCAGAGTACAAAGGCATTTTATCTGTTCAGTTTATCTAATTCTTCTTCTCTTATGTACAATTTTAGAAATGAAAGAAAAAGTATGATAAATCTGCTCTTCTAGTGAAATTTAATTCAAAAGGAAAGGCAAAGATAATGACATACTTTCACAGGAAAAGTTTACCCTGAAGAAAGGCTTCCCCAGTTTTGGCTCTCAAAACTTTTTCAGAATTAAGC